AAGGAAAGGAAAGGAAAGGAAAGGAAAGGAAAGGAAAGGAAAGGAAAGGAAAGGAAAGGAAAGGAAAGGAAAGGAAAGGAGAGGAGAAAAATGGAAAAGGAAGGAAGGAAGGAAGGAAGGAAGGAAGGATGGAAGGAAGGAAGGAAGGAAGGAAGGAAGGAAGGAAGTGATGTGTCCTGGTCCAGGGTGATGCCCCAATTTTGGGATTTTGGGGCTCTGCTCCCCACCCTCCTCCTGCCCTGACTCTTCTCCCTGTCCCCCTCCAGGTCGGAGTCACTCCCGAGCCTCTCCTGCTCCGGGTGATGCCCCAGTTCACCTTCGCCTGCTTCTGTGGCCTCCACGGCTTCTGCAAGATGAAGAGGAAGAAGGAACAGGCCAGCGGGGGGCAGGAGACGGCCGTGTGAGGATCAGCCCCCGCCCGGGACCCCCTCCTGTCCCCTCGGTACGTCGGGACTGCCGGGGGGCTTCGGGTGCCTCCCTCCTCTCTGCTCTGCAGGAGCTGCTGCTGCCTCCGCCCGGGGGCATCGGGGGACCCGGGGGGACCGGGGAGCTGAGCCGAAGTGTCCGGGGTGGTGCTTGGCAGGGAAGGGGAGCGATTGGGGCTGGGAGAGCACGGGGGGAGCTGCTCCATCTGCTCATTTAGCCCGCAAATTCTCCATTTATCCCGCAAATTCTCCATTTATCCCGCAGATTCTCCATTTATCCCGCAGATTCTCCATTTATCCCAAAGATTCTCCATTTATCCCAAAGATTTCTCCATTTATCCCGCAGATTCTCCATTTATCCCGCAGATTCTCCATTTATCCCGCAGATTCTCCATTTATCCCCCAGATTCTCCATTTATCCCAAAGATTTCTCCATTTATCCCAAAGATTTCTCCATTTATCACAAAGATTTCTCCATTTATCCCGCAGATTCTCCATTTATCCCAAAGATTTCTCCATTTATCCCAAAGATTTCTCCATTTATCCCGCAGATTCTCCATTTATCCCAAAGATTTCTCCATTTATCCCGCAGATTCTCCATTTATCCCAAAGATTCTCCATTTATCCCAAAGATTTCTCCATTTATCCCAAAGATTCTCCATTTATCCCAAAGATTTCTCCATTTATCCCGCAGATTCTCCATTTATCCCAAAGATTCTCCATTTATCCTGCAGATTCTCCATTTATCCCGCAGATTCTCCATTTATCCCAAAGATTCTCCATTTATCCCAAAGATTCTCCATTTATCCCAAAGATTCTCCATCTATCCCACAGATTCTCTCCCGCATCCCGTGGATTCTCTCCTCATTTCCCGTCCCTCCCTGTCCCCAGGAAGCCGGGGAAGAGCCGAAGTGTCCCTGCCCACGATGTCCCTGCCCGTCCCGCTGCGAGCGAGAATTCCCCCCCTGCTCCAGCAATTCCCAGCAGAGAAACCGGGAAAAGCTCCAAAATCCGGGCCAAGCCTCGTCCTTGCCGGAATCCAGAGCTGGGCAGCGCCTCTGGCACGGCCAGGTCCGTCCCTGCCTCCTTCCCTCTCCCTGGAACAATCCTGGACCTTTCCAGAAACTCGGGATGCGCTCCGGCAATTCCTCCCGACTTCGGATCTTCCTCTTCTCCCCTCCAGAAGCAGCCGGACCTGAGCGCTGCTGGAGCAGATGAATCCCGCTGATGGCAGTGGGAATGAGGCGTCTATCCAAGGAAAATTCCAAGGGTTTTCCGTCCTCTGGAGCGGGAGGCGAGCGGTGAAGCCGAAGCCGGAGCCGTGTTCTGGCTGCTCCCGGATTTCCTTTGGGAAGGGATGCAGGAATGCGTGGGGCTCGTCCTCCCCATCCCGGATCTGGCTGGAATTCCTACAAATCCCTGCGGATTCCCAGAGTTCACGGGAAGAGCCTTCACCTCCTCAGGAAAGCAGAGCCGCGCTCCCTAAAGAGGAATTTATTCCCACCAGCAATAATCCCGTCCACCAAGGGAAGGATCCAGCTGCCCTGCTCACATTCCCACCGGGAATTTGGGCTGGGAACTCTCCAGGCGGGGCAATTCCTGCATCCAAGACTCAAAAAATTAAACCGAAAAAAACCCATTTTAAATGTTTTTCTCCCCTCAGAAATCACCTGCTCGAAGCTGTCCCTTCTCCCAGCCGAGGGGAGGATTCTCTTCCAGGTATTCCCAGTCTTCCCACAGGACAAAATTAATTCGTGGCTGTCCCAAAACTCGGCGTTTTCCAAATGTTTTCCCGAGGATGAAGCAATTCCAGATCAGTTGATTTGGGAAAATGCTGAATTTCCATTTCATTTCACATTTTTGCACCTCAGCCTCCTCAGTTCCACCTTTGGGGAGGAACTTCGGGATCAGCTCTGGACCAAAAAATCCAAGGAAATTGGTGGAACTCCAAGGGAATTTCCTGAATTTCCCCACTTCCACCTTTGGCGAGGACCTTTGGGATCATCTCCAGACCAAAACCAAAAAATCCAAGGAAGTCGGGAATTTTCTGGGAATTCCAAGGGAATTTCCTGACTGTAACTTTAATTTTTGCGCAAGGATTCGTGGTGGCCGCGAGAGGGATTTCAACAAGTTGGGATTAATCCCTGCACGGGTGTGAAGATAAAGGTGGAATTCCAACCTTGTTTTATTCCAGGAAAAATCCAGAGGGACACTCTGACACCGAGATATGTAAAAAAATATTAATTATAGCGAGAGGAGCTTGGATCGACTTCCATCCCTCCGATTTCTCCTGTTTCTCCAGGTTTTTCCTATGCAAAAACACACAAAAAACCAGCAAAAACAAAGCCAGGCTCAGCAGCAGGTCCTGACTCAACAAAGCCCCGCTTAAAGCTAAAGCTTGGCTTTGGGATTTTGCTGATTCCAGCCTGGATCGATCCCTGGGAAAGAGGGGAAGGGGCAGAACCCTCCTTGCAGCCTCTCCTGACACGGATCAAAGCATGAAATCTCTTTTTATCGTCCTTTATTTTTATCCCTGCTGCCCGGATTTCTTTGGGAAAAGATTCCCAAGATGTTCCTCAGGAATCTCCCGGCCCCAGGAGCCATAGGAATTCCTACTGTACATTTATTTTTTTGGGGGGGGTTTTGTTTTTGGGGAGGGGGAAATAAAAGTGGCATTTGTAAATAAGCACAGGAACAGAGCAGAACAAATCCTATAGGAATTCTTATTCCAGAGGAATAAATTAATGGAAAAAAAATTAATGGATAAATAAATTAATGGATAAATAAATTAATGGATAAATAAATTAATTGATAAATAAATTAATGGATAAATGAATAAATAAATGAATAAATAAATGAATATATAAATGAATATATAAATGAATATATAAATGAATATATAAATGAATATATAAATGAATATATAAATGAATATATAAATGAATAAATAGATTAATAAATAGATTAATAAATAGATTAATAAAGAATAAGTCAAGCAAATAAATCAAATATTTATGATAATTTTTGGAGTGGGGGTTTTTATGGTTTTGCTCCCTCTTTTTCTCGGCTGGTTCTTCAAAACATCCCCAAAAAGGCACCTTTCAAAAAGGGCCCTGAAATGGAAATTCCCGGAGTTTGGGAACGGGATTGGCTCCGGAGAAGGGCACGGGGGTTGTTAAAGCACAAAGCAACCCCACAGCAATTCCTGGGATGTCAGGAAAACTCCCAGGGAAGGCTTTGGAAGTCAGATGGGGGAAAAAACCCAACAGGGTTCATTAGAGTAATTATTGGGCTCCCCGCTAACGAGCATCGCTGGCCGGGGTTTATCGCTCTCCTGGGGGGTTTCTGCTGAGATCCATCGACTCCTGGCACGTTCCCACTTCCCAGAAGGATCTGGGGAATCTCCCAGCTCTCCCTGCCCTCCTTGGGGAGGATCCAGGAGAAACCAGGAGGGATCCAGGAATAACAGGGAGGGATCCAGAAGAAACCGGGAGGGATCCAGGAATAAAAGGGAGGGATCCAGGAATAAAAGGGAGGGGTCCAGGAACCCCAAGGAGGGATCCAGGAATAACAGGGAGAGATCCAGGAACATCAGGGAGGGATCCAGGAGCATCAGGGAGGGATCCAGGAACACCAAGGAGGGATCCAGGAACATCAGGGAGGGATCCAGGAGCATCAGGGAGGGATCCAGGAACACCAAGGAGGGATCCAGGAATAACAGGGAGGGATCCAGGAGCATCAGGGAGGGATCCAGGAGCATCAGGGAGGGATCCAGAAACACCAAGGAGGGATCCAGGAATAACAGGGAGGGATCCAGGAGCATCAGGGAGGGATCCAGAACTGGGGAGGGATGCTCCTGGGAGTGCCATGGGAAGGGATCAGGAACTCTCAGCTGATGGATCGGAAAAGGTGTGAAAAGGCGGGAAAAGTTGGGAAATGTTGGGAAAAGGCGGGAAAGGCGATTTTCCCGCCCCCCACGCCATGGGCTGGACTCGGCTGGGAGCGCCCCCAACTCTC